CCACCACCACCATCATCACCATTATCACCATAATCATAACCACCAAAAAATAAACATCAATTAATTATAATTATTATTGCAGTTACCACCAAGTGTAGTAGAAGTACATGTATGAAAATGTACTAAATATTTAAAATATACATACATAAATTTTATTTAAGTGGCGAATTATTCATCTACATAGCTAATTTGGGATTAGGACAATATCTATATTTTCAAATGTTTCCTACATATCAAATGTCCAATTTTCAGCTACAAACCTAAAGTTTTAAACAGAAACACAAAGTATCTTTATTTTCTACATAGATAATTGGGCACAGTCACATCCAGTAGTATCCATATTTTCAAACATTGAACTCTTGTCCCCGTGGTTTTCCTTCACATTTGCACGTCCCTGCAAGGATGAAGAACTCAACTCCGCCAACGACTAGAGCGACAGCATTCTTCGCAATAAAGATAGCAGCTTCGTATTTATGCCAAATGATGGCACGCAACACCAAGAACGGGAGGTTAGTGCCGATTATTTCCAGTGGACCGAGAACCATGGACGTTTCTTTTCTTTCTTTAACTGTGCCATCAACCATGAACTTATTTCGAATCAAACCAATTGGTGAGAGAAGGAAACAAAAGCAGGCGAAGAAAACAATGCATATTTCTATATCCTTCTCTAAATCAAAGTTTCCCTCCTTTTGCATCAAGAATATTTCCAACATCTCAATGCCGTCGAAGATATTCAACGCAGAAAATATAGACAACGACAAGACAGGCTTTCGGTAAGACGGACAAATCATGAGCTGTAGTAGGAGGACCAGCAACCCTGGGGTAATACACAGCGTACCCAACAGTGCATTGATCCCAAGATCTTCATCTTTAGTAAGTTTGTGTGCGACCTTCCCAAAAATCACGGCAACTGTAATGAAATAAGCAACGATGTATGTTCCCCAAATAATCCAAACGCCCCGAACATTTTCGTCGTTGTCTGCGTACGATTGCTCGTTAGTATGAAAGAAGACAAGTATCAAAACAAATGCCGGTACAAATAAAATAAACCACGCCGCATATGCATAGTTGTCCAGATGTATCACCAAAAATGAAACGAAAAGACCAACTTGCAACCAGTAAAGTATGAATAACGTTATCCACCCGAGACCAACGAGAGATAACGACCTTTTTGCCATTGCCAAGTCTTTTACGAATAAACTCAGATTTTAAATCAAACACCTTGATTAACGAAGCAGAGAATCACAAAATGATACGTTCATAAAAAAACTTTCGTTTTTAAACAATCGTTTCGGTAAAAACCCTTTACGGGATTTCCCTTATTCCAAGTATTTTATTGGATATTTGTTCTTGGAAAACGCGAGTTTATGCATGGCAGACGGATCATGTTTCAAAGGTTTTGACAATAAAGTATTATTGTTTAGTTTTTAGTATCGAAATTTGGCGTTGTATAAGGCCCGTTTCAGACGCCACTCCATTAAATTATTTCAACTATTCTTTACGCAAATCACAACTCTGTTAATATAGTTTTATGCTGCCTAGACGAGTATATATGTATGTTTCTCTTGGGAAAGTCCCTGTGAGGGAAATACCCGTTATTCTAAGAAAAGCAACTGCGTATTCCAGTTATTAAATCGTACGAGACACTTCCTGAAACATGGCGAACTATGATAGGCTGAGCGTTGTATATTCAGTATATACAATATCATCTTACCACTTAAAGTTATAATATTTATATATTAATGATTATTATTTTAATCGGTTTTAATATTGCATATTATCGTATGCGAGTTATACCTCGAGAAGCGAGATTTGCAATTTTAACTACCCAAGAAAAATTTATAAAATTGCAGTCAACTCACCAGACAAATATGGCCTGTCACCATTAATGACGCAGGTAAAGGGTGGTGGTGATGATGATGGTGTTGGCGATGATGATGGTGTTGGCGATGATAGTGGTGTTGGTGGTGATGATGGTGGTGATGATGGTGGTGGTGACGATGATAGTGGTGACAATCATGATGATCATGACATATTAAATCGAATTTACCCTAGCTTTTACCCAGGGTGCTTGATGACAGCTTATATTTCCCAAATGGACAAATGCTCAGACTATATAATATGAATCGCGAGAATATAAACATTCTCTATTCAAACTTATGACTTGAATAATCATTGTTTTTAAAATGCTACAACTTGTATCGAATACCATTGAACCAGATTTCTTTTCCAGTAAGCATTTTAAGCTCTAGACGAGGACAAGGTGATCAAAATGCGTGCATGCATGCACTTCATGCATTCCGCCTTCCGGCTATCTTCATGTTTCCAGCTATAAAATTTCCAATATCGCTTCTCAAATCTTCGTTTAAAAAGCGCATCCTACAACAATGCATGCTTCTATTAATCGTTTCCAATTGAGTATATGATCATTGATCTTTCTTAAGGCTCATTTAGACTACACAACTTTTGCCTAAAACTGTCGCATGCAACCTGCTTAATTACAACTTGAGTAGTACTGTGTAAATCAAGCACACAACTCACTTACATTGGTCATTGTCGTAGATGAGTTGTGTGCTTGATTTACACAGTGCAAAATTATATAAGCAGGTTGCATGCGACAGTTTTAGGCAAACGCTTTGTAGTCTAAACGGCCTTTAAAAACTATTGTAGCTTCAATGCTTCATTATCATTCTCAAATGCGTCACGGAATCGCTGTAAATTGTGTCATTCCTTGCCTTCCCATGCACCTGGTTAATGTGGTTTCATCTGATGGTGTTGCACCTCCCTTGCCTACTTACGAGAATAGTTTTCATCACAAGGCTAAAAAACATCGTTTTTAGTCAACATAACCTTCGCGCAATATATCTCTTTCATCCAAGATGGCGCCCATTGAGCAATTTTATTGAAATTTTACTTGCATTGCACTGACAGTAATGACGGACAAAAATGTTTGAGAAGAAAATAATAGCATACTCATAGTTAGGTAGTCCAGTAAGATTAAATAAGCCAATAAAGAATGTTTTTGCCAATCCTTTAAGTATAACAGAAGAACATAAAAATATACTAAGTATTTAAAATATACATACATTTAAGTGGCAAATTATTCACACAGTATCTTTATTTTCAAATATGGTTCATAAACTTCACTCCAGTCTCAAATTATGTGTCTTTGTTCTATAGTTCATATACTTTACTTAGGTGTCAAATTATTCAGCTACAAAGCTACTGGAATTAGGGGCAGTCACAGCGTATATCTTTACTTTCAAATACGGCTTATGAGCTTTATTTAAGTTTCAAACTATTTAGGTACTACATAGCTAATTGGGGGCAGTCACACAATATCTTCATTTTCAAGCAGTGTTTGGTGCTTCTCTTTGTATGTCGTTTCCAGGCCTTTTCCGATTTTGGATCCCGCATTTCCACATCCCTTTAAGTGAACCGGCAAAGACGACTGCCCCAATCACTAAAGAGACGACATTCTTTGCAATAAATAGAGAGGCGTTGTACTAGTGGTTTTTCCAAATGACAATTCGCAAGACCAAGAATGGAAAATTAGTGCCGAATATTTCTAGCAGACCGAAAACAGCCGACGTTGTTTCTCTTTCTTTTACCTCACCGTTTGCCCCAAACTTATTTCGAACCAAACCAAAGGATGAGAGCAGGAAACATATGCAGGCGAAGACAATGATGCACACTTCTGTCTCACTGTTCAAATCAAAAGGGCGTTCGCTCCGCATCAGAAAATCTTTTAGTCTTTCCGTCTGATCGCCTCCGTTTTGTGTCAGGAAATCTTTCAAGTCTTCGGTCGCGCTGTCGAAATCAAAATGTCTTTCATTTTGCATCAGATAAATTTCCAACATTTGGATTCCATCGAAGATATTCAACGCGGCGACTATGGACAGGTACAACACAGGCTTTCGGTAGGATGGACAGATTGTGAGTTGAAGGAAAAGGATTAATAGGCCTGGAGAGTGTCATTTTTAAAACATTAATACCAAGGGCATCTTCTTCGGTTAGATCTTTCGCAACCGTACCAAAAATCACAGCAACTACAACAACATAAGCCACGATGTATGTTCCCCAAATAGCCCATACGTACCAGATGCTTCGATCCTCGTCCGCGTGCTTTGCTGCCCAGTGTTGACGCAAGAAAATGCATGTGAAAACGAAAGCCGGCACAAAGAATAAAAAGTCGTGAGGTATTGCCAAAATCGAAACAAGAAGACCAACTTGCCCCCAATAAAGTATGAATAACGTTATCCAACCGAGAATAACCAAGAATGATGACCTCTCAACGGTATCGCGATCATTGACATTGTTTTCAACCACGTTTTCTTCCATTTTAATATGTAATCTTTCGATCGAACTCGCAACGTTAATGCGCTTGGCACACTCAAGCAAACTATAGTTACAGCAAAAACTTCCGTTTTTCTAAAAACGACGTTTTTTTATGGGGGTTCCCCTTATGCTAATTACTCAGTAGTATGAAAATTTTGTTGCAGTTTTTATGGTATTCTAATTCATTAAATGTTCATGCAACGCTAGGGGTCGCCACATCACAATATGAAGAGGTGTTGTGATTGGTTGATTAGTAATGTTTACAACATGAGCGGCCGTGTTGCATCAGATATACAAACTCGAGCCGAAGGCGAGAGTTTGTATATCTGATACAACACGGACGCGAATGGTGTAAACAACTTAAAAAACGACTCATCTTATGAGTTCAATAATAGTTCATTGGCGAAGTAATTTTAAAAATAAACGTTGTCTAAGCCGAGAAAATCAAAGTTAAAGTTTATGTAAATCAACATGAATCTGTATCACATATACAGATACGACACGCTTATGATTTTTCTTTATGTTTTCTTCATGAATTATTAATGCGTTTTTTAATAAGAATTACACACATTAGTATTTTACACACTGAGTGAACATAAGAAAACCGACGTGGTGATTGGTAAAATTTGACGTGATATTCGCGCTTAAGAATAAATTTTCTAAAGAATGAATACCGACACCAGTCACTTTTGTTTGGCACGCGCGATCATATAAAAACACTGGAAAGGAGACTTAATCAGGATCAAGCATGATGTTTTCAGTGTGCTGATGGTGTCTTCCATGTTTAGCGACAATACAGCTCAGCATTTTAGCTCCTGGTTAGGTCTGACGGTACACAATTTACATTCGAAATTCTCATCTAAATAACCCTTCAACAATAGTTCGGTCGAGTGTGATGCCCAAGCAGAGCCTCCTTAAGTATTTGCAAATAACGTAGAGTAAAGTGAGCGCGCAGGGAGTGATGGGAAGATTTCATCCCATTACTCCTTGCGCGCTCATTTTTCCCTCACTAGAAACTTCATGTAAGCTTGTTGATCTACATAGTTGTTTTGGGACATTCACACAGACAGTTGTATTTTAAAGCACGCAATAATACATCGATTTGAATCACTTTATTCCACTATTCACTGCCACTTCGATCAATAATTATTAACCAACTAATCGTTTGTATCAAGCCACATATACATGCATACATACTAATCGTTTGTATCAAGCCACACATACACACACACACATACATAGAAAACTTTATTTAAACCACACTAGCCTCAACAACCGTTGGAAGGCTGGTTTCCATGAGGGGCGTGATGTCGGGGTCAGATTACTATAACAGTATTTTCAAGTACGGCTCATAAATATTATAAACTGGCAAATTACTTAGATACTGTTCTTCAGTGGTCTGTTCTCCTTGTTTTGTCAACACTTACGTCAGATTGCCGAGAGGGGGGGGGGGGGGGGT